AACCGCTCAGAGCCAACTGAACGAAAAGTTATAGGTGCACTTGTAATGAATATACTTTTTAACGCACATAGTTTTATTGTGCAAATAAATTTTGCTTTTTAATCGATAATTTAAAGAAACACTATACATTTTAATCAAATAAATTTATTGCAGAAAGAACTTCGAAAACCAATTCGGTAAACTTGGAAAACACTTTTTTTACCCTGGATTTACATCGAGAAACGCCAAGTTCCGCGAAAAATTTCGACGAGAAAAATTTGCCTTCCAGTTCGATTTGCGATCGAAACTCGAGAACAATTTCTCAATCAAGTGATCAGAAAGAAGTTTCCCTAAAAGATACAGAGGTAGTATTGCGTAGAATAAAGAAAGAAAACATGAACGAAAATGAACAAAAGACGGAAAATAAGAAGAAGCAGACGAACAAGATGAGCTCAATATTAAAGAACATGTCGGAATCATTGACGTTAAGAAAACACGGAGTTATAATGATTTGTCAATGGTAAATTTTTTTCTTAACCTCGGTCTCCCATTTTTAAAATTATTTCTTAATATGTATATATATATATATATAAATGCCTTGAGTCGCGCACACGCGCAAAAGTGAGTGAATAAAATTATTTGAATCTGAATTTTTCTAATGGATTTCGAACATTTTCAAAATATAATAAGATATTTTTAGTACTTTTTCAATTTTTAACTTTGTCAATTTTTTATTTAAATAAAAATACTATAAATATATTCTTCAAGATACTAAACACAAATAAAGTTAATTCCAATCATCTAGAAATTAAAAACATGGAAATCCGATCAAAATTAAATATTAAAGCTGTATATGTAGAGAATTTAGTAAGATCAAATATCTAGTAAAATCATATCTAAAAATATAAATATCTCATATTTCTTTGCGCATCATAAACGCTCTTTAAAATATGTTTTTTGTTATCTATGTACTCTATCACCCATATTTATGCTACAGTCAAGGAAATATAAAAGGATTGAGCTCGCAAATAAAAAATTTGATCAATAATTTTTCATTTAAGGTGGACATCTGCGATGGCATGCAGCATACTTGACGATTTGACGCCAAATTTTCCGGTTAATAGGCATATAACATTTGCTGTGGGAGGAGTTCTCGAGATAGCAACGTACACATTTATATATTTTGTAGTATCTAAATATGGTAGACGGCTGTCTATGTGCATATACCAGTCCTTCAATGGTGCCGTGTGTATTCTAATTGCAATCTTTCTCATTTTAAAAACTACCACTACACCGTGGATCGGTATGTAAAATAAGAAGAAGATAGTTTTTCCTATAGTTGATGGTTGAGATATTATACATATACACAATATATTCTACAAAATATCTTTATATATTCATATATAAGAATTTACGTGCTAAGCTTCTCTGTACAGAATATGAGATAGTAAGAGAAAGAGATAGTTATTTAAATATATATAAAACCTTTATTTCAGATCTTGCGAAAACGATAATGTTGCTATTTGGCAAAATGACTGTCACGGGTACCATATCTATTGCTTACTTGTATACCGTTGAAACATTCCCAACAGTGATACGAGGTAGTTGCTTAGGTTTATGCGTGGTATTCGCAAAACTCGGCAATCTAAGCATCCTACATTCGCTGCTGTCGGTATAGTATCAAAATGCCCCTCATTTATTTTTATTTATTTCAAAATTACAATGTGTATCTTTTGATTGGTACTACTTTTTATAAATCGAAAACCGTTAATCGCGAGATCAGCTAATCAATATACAAGTATCAAAGAAATACGAATGATCTGTTTATCAGGAACAACATATGCCACTTCCAGTACCGTTATTGGCTGTTGGCATATTGTGCCTCATCGGCGGACTTTTGGTTCTGATTTTACCCGAGACTCTCGACAGAATTTTACCAGACCGAATAACGAGTGTGGAGGATATAATCGATGATAGCAATTGCAAGAAAGATAGCGTTAATATAGAAAATGATACAGAAAACAATTTGACAGATAAACAAATTCTAAGGGAGAAACTCTTTTCAGAGGACTGGGTAGATGCTGGCAATGGAATTCTGGTGAATTTCACGGAAAATAAAAATATCGAATAATCTATAAAATAATTTTGTGTATAAAGTATGTTCATTTTTACTAAATAAATATCATCCGCATATTATCTTTCTCTCTCTCTGTTTTTCTATATAAAAATATTATAAAAAATTGTGCAAGAATCCAATGATTCCATTACATTCGCGGTAATAGGTATTTATTTTAATTTCAAGTATAAAAAATGGCAAACATCTATAAAGAAGAGATTCATGATAACTCGGTAAAGGCAAGACTCGTATGTCCGTTTTAAAATAATATGATGATAATATAGATAATTTTTAATGTACATATAACAGAATTTAAAAATAGCTTATGCAAATATAATGTATCGTAATGGATGATTGCATTTTACTGTATCCAAGTACATATATGTATATCATTCATTATAATGTAATAAACTGAACATTAGAATGAAAGAAAAGTCTTTCGACACAAATATCTTTTGCAAATATTTTTTAATGATATTATTTAATAAATAATATATATACATATATATATATGAGAAAGAGATATTATTTTATTAGTTTACAGAAATGTGAGAGAATTCATAAATTATCACAGTCAAACAATATATCATTTCTTTATCATTTCTTACACAAAAATATCATATTGGAAAAATCATGTGAAATGTAAAAATCTATGTTCACTTTTCTGAATATGTGGAATGAACATGATGAAAGTTGAAATTTTAGGGAACTTTGGGTTGTGCGATACCATTATTCTGAGGATTGATGTGTTGCGTTTGCTCAGCAGCCGTTTGCAAAAGTCTCGTTCGACGTCGTGTGTAATGCTGCCACAACAGAATCTGTTGATCGTCAATAAATTTTGTGCACTGAGAATTCACAACTTCTCGTCTGAAGTGCTCATATTGCAATAAATCCAGAAAATACAAGCACATGGGATATTTCAAGTATTTTGCGTACTCTGGCTCTTTCCAATATAATAGATACTTGAGATAATTGATAAATGTTGAGTCTTTAAAATAGCCACGTTGTGCTAAAACTACCATTATACATTTATCGTAGATGAAGATCTTTTTTAACAGTCTGAAAAATACAATGATCATTCTGCTTACAATTCAGATAATTTGGATTAGCAAGGCATTGTACAAACTCTAATTCAATCTGAAACCGTAATCGCTGTTGATCATCCGTCTCTGGGGCTCCTAAAACAAAACTAATTTCGAGTTTCATCCTTATTGAGATAAAATCAAAGATGAAAACTCATTAATTGACTCTGCAGCAAAATTGCAATTAGATAGAAAAATTGGCTATTATATTGTTTAACACGTATAACATGAGATTAAAGCTAGAGCATTTAATACGTCAAATAATATTTTCAAATTTCTTTTAATCAACGTTTAACATTAAAAGCGTTGTATAACCGTAATTTAGAAAAATTCGGTTAATACAGGTTATCTTAAGGATTAGCATAGGTGTGATAAACACACGACTACAAACAATCATCCCACCGTTCATCCCAATGAAAGATGGTTTTCTGCTTTTCATGAGCCCCGGCGGATCATCCAATCGATTCATAGTACATCAACTTGTATTAATTGTGTATTAAATATTGTGTGTTATCTCGACAGCAAAATGTCACAAGGACTAACAAAACATACAAAACGTACAACACAACACACAACGTGCACAATTCCGAGAGACAAGATTATAAACTTTGATTATAAGCTTATAAGATTACAATCCCTCACTTGTCTTCTTCACCTCTTTTTGGATTTTTTCGTCTTCTTCTGGAACAAAGTGACGTTTAATTGACCAATCAGGACAGAAGATTTCTTTATTCTGATTGGTTAATTCAAAGCTATTCTACCCCACGAGTAAGATTTCCGAACGCACTTCTGATCATAGCTCGTCGATCATATGGCTCCTACATACGCATACAGGACACGGAACGTTTGTCGCGCGGCAAAAGGCGACGCGGTAGTCAATCAACTTACAACTTTTCCATTAGAGCAAAAAATTGATTGACTACCGGCGAGCGTTTCCGCGTCCTGTGTGCAGAAACCATAGACATAGTATATCTAGACCATAGACATAGTATATCTAGACCGAGTGTTGAGGAGTGGGAGCCGAGGTGCACGTAGAAAAGGACATACTCTGTTTCGTGCCCCTTGCGTTCTCTCTCGCTCGCACAGAGCATAGCGCTCTCTTTCGTCATGCTACGTGCGAGCGAGAGAGAACGCAAGGGGCACGAAACAGAGTATGTCCTTTTCTACGTGGGCATCGGCCCCCAATCCTCAACACTCGGTCTAGATATACTATGGCTGCGGTCTTGAATCATTGATCGATAATTCATATAGATTCGTAACTAACATAGTGAGAAAACATTGTTATTCATTGGCTATATTATTTTAAAGATGGCGGACTTTACTATGATTATCGATTGAATCATTGATCGATAATTCATATAGATTCGTAACTAACATAGTGAGAAAACATTGTTATTCATTGGCTATATTATTTTAAAGATGGCGGACTTTACTATGATTATCGATTGAATCATTGATCGATAATTCATATAGATTCGTAACTAACATAGTGAGAAAACATTGTTATTCATTGGCTATATTATTTTAAAGATGGCGGACTTTACTATGATTATCGATTGAATCATTGATCGATAATTCATATAGATTCGTAACTAACATAGTGAGAAAACATTGTTATTCATTGGCTATATTATTTTAAAGATGGCGGACTTTACTATGATTATCGATTGAATCATTGATCGATAATTCATATAGATTCGTAACTAACATAGTGAGAAAACATTGTTATTCATTGGCTATATTATTTTAAAGATGGCGGACTTTACTATGATTATCGATTGAATCATTGATCGATAATTCATATAGATTCGTAACTAACATAGTGAGAAAACATTGTTATTCATTGGCTATATTATTTTAAAGATGGCGGACTTTACTATGATTATCGATTGAATCATTGATCGATAATTCATATAGATTCGTAACTAACATAGTGAGAAAACATTGTTATTCATTGGCTATATTATTTTAAAGATGGCGGACTTTACTATGATTATCGATTGAATCATTGATCGATAATTCATATAGATTCGTAACTAACATAGTGAGAAAACATTGTTATTCATTGGCTATATTATTTTAAAGATGGCGGACTTTACTATGATTATCGATTGAATCATTGATCGATAATTCATATAGATTCGTAACTAACATAGTGAGAAAACATTGTTATTCATTGGCTATATTATTTTAAAGATGGCGGACTTTACTATGATTATCGATTGAATCATTGATCGATAATTCATATAGATTCGTAACTAACATAGTGAGAAAACATTGTTATTCATTGGCTATATTATTTTAAAGATGGCGGACTTTACTATGATTATCGATTGAATCATTGATCGATAATTCATATAGATTCGTAACTAACATAGTGAGAAAACATTGTTATTCATTGGCTATATTATTTTAAAGATGGCGGACTTTACTATGATTATCGATTGAATCATTGATCGATAATTCATATAGATTCGTAACTAACATAGTGAGAAAACATTGTTATTCATTGGCTATATTATTTTAAAGATGGCGGACTTTACTATGATTATCGATTGAATCATTGATCGATAATTCATATAGATTCGTAACTAACATAGTGAGAAAACATTGTTATTCATTGGCTATATTATTTTAAAGATGGCGGACTTTACTATGATTATCGATTGAATCATTGATCGATAATTCATATAGATTCGTAACTAACATAGTGAGAAAACATTGTTATTCATTGGCTATATTATTTTAAAGATGGCGGACTTTACTATGATTATCGATTGAATCATTGATCGATAATTCATATAGATTCGTAACTAACATAGTGAGAAAACATTGTTATTCATTGGCTATATTATTTTAAAGATGGCGGACTTTACTATGATTATCGATTGAATCATTGATCGATAATTCATATAGATTCGTAACTAACATAGTGAGAAAACATTGTTATTCATTGGCTATATTATTTTAAAGATGGCGGACTTTACTATGATTATCGATTGAATCATTGATCGATAATTCATATAGATTCGTAACTAACATAGTGAGAAAACATTGTTATTCATTGGCTATATTATTTTAAAGATGGCGGACTTTACTATGATTATCGATTGAATCATTGATCGATAATTCATATAGATTCGTAACTAACATAGTGAGAAAACATTGTTATTCATTGGCTATATTATTTTAAAGATGGCGGACTTTACTATGATTATCGATTGAATCATTGATCGATAATTCATATAGATTCGTAACTAACATAGTGAGAAAACATTGTTATTCATTGGCTATATTATTTTAAAGATGGCGGACTTTACTATGATTATCGATTGAATCATTGATCGATAATTCATATAGATTCGTAACTAACATAGTGAGAAAACATTGTTATTCATTGGCTATATTATTTTAAAGATGGCGGACTTTACTATGATTATCGATTGAATCATTGATCGATAATTCATATAGATTCGTAACTAACATAGTGAGAAAACATTGTTATTCATTGGCTATATTATTTTAAAGATGGCGGACTTTACTATGATTATCGATTGAATCATTGATCGATAATTCATATAGATTCGTAACTAACATAGTGAGAAAACATTGTTATTCATTGGCTATATTATTTTAAAGATGGCGGACTTTACTATGATTATCGATTGAATCATTGATCGATAATTCATATAGATTCGTAACTAACATAGTGAGAAAACATTGTTATTCATTGGCTATATTATTTTAAAGATGGCGGACTTTACTATGATTATCGATTGAATCATTGATCGATAATTCATATAGATTCGTAACTAACATAGTGAGAAAACATTGTTATTCATTGGCTATATTATTTTAAAGATGGCGGACTTTACTATGATTATCGATTGAATCATTGATCGATAATTCATATAGATTCGTAACTAACATAGTGAGAAAACATTGTTATTCATTGGCTATATTATTTTAAAGATGGCGGACTTTACTATGATTATCGATTGAATCATTGATCGATAATTCATATAGATTCGTAACTAACATAGTGAGAAAACATTGTTATTCATTGGCTATATTATTTTAAAGATGGCGGACTTTACTATGATTATCGATTGAATCATTGATCGATAATTCATATAGATTCGTAACTAACATAGTGAGAAAACATTGTTATTCATTGGCTATATTATTTTAAAGATGGCGGACTTTACTATGATTATCGATTGAATCATTGATCGATAATTCATATAGATTCGTAACTAACATAGTGAGAAAACATTGTTATTCATTGGCTATATTATTTTAAAGATGGCGGACTTTACTATGATTATCGATTGAATCATTGATCGATAATTCATATAGATTCGTAACTAACATAGTGAGAAAACATTGTTATTCATTGGCTATATTATTTTAAAGATGGCGGACTTTACTATGATTATCGATTGAATCATTGATCGATAATTCATATAGATTCGTAACTAACATAGTGAGAAAACATTGTTATTCATTGGCTATATTATTTTAAAGATGGCGGACTTTACTATGATTATCGATTGAATCATTGATCGATAATTCATATAGATTCGTAACTAACATAGTGAGAAAACATTGTTATTCATTGGCTATATTATTTTAAAGATGGCGGACTTTACTATGATTATCGATTGAATCATTGATCGATAATTCATATAGATTCGTAACTAACATAGTGAGAAAACATTGTTATTCATTGGCTATATTATTTTAAAGATGGCGGACTTTACTATGATTATCGATTGAATCATTGATCGATAATTCATATAGATTCGTAACTAACATAGTGAGAAAACATTGTTATTCATTGGCTATATTATTTTAAAGATGGCGGACTTTACTATGATTATCGATTGAATCATTGATCGATAATTCATATAGATTCGTAACTAACATAGTGAGAAAACATTGTTATTCATTGGCTATATTATTTTAAAGATGGCGGACTTTACTATGATTATCGATTGAATCATTGATCGATAATTCATATAGATTCGTAACTAACATAGTGAGAAAACATTGTTATTCATTGGCTATATTATTTTAAAGATGGCGGACTTTACTATGATTATCGATTGAATCATTGATCGATAATTCATATAGATTCGTAACTAACATAGTGAGAAAACATTGTTATTCATTGGCTATATTATTTTAAAGATGGCGGACTTTACTATGATTATCGATTGAATCATTGATCGATAATTCATATAGATTCGTAACTAACATAGTGAGAAAACATTGTTATTCATTGGCTATATTATTTTAAAGATGGCGGACTTTACTATGATTATCGATTGAATCATTGATCGATAATTCATATAGATTCGTAACTAACATAGTGAGAAAACATTGTTATTCATTGGCTATATTATTTTAAAGATGGCGGACTTTACTATGATTATCGATTGAATCATTGATCGATAATTCATATAGATTCGTAACTAACATAGTGAGAAAACATTGTTATTCATTGGCTATATTATTTTAAAGATGGCGGACTTTACTATGATTATCGATTGAATCATTGATCGATAATTCATATAGATTCGTAACTAACATAGTGAGAAAACATTGTTATTCATTGGCTATATTATTTTAAAGATGGCGGACTTTACTATGATTATCGATTGAATCATTGATCGATAATTCATATAGATTCGTAACTAACATAGTGAGAAAACATTGTTATTCATTGGCTATATTATTTTAAAGATGGCGGACTTTACTATGATTATCGATTGAATCATTGATCGATAATTCATATAGATTCGTAACTAACATAGTGAGAAAACATTGTTATTCATTGGCTATATTATTTTAAAGATGGCGGACTTTACTATGATTATCGATTGAATCATTGATCGATAATTCATATAGATTCGTAACTAACATAGTGAGAAAACATTGTTATTCATTGGCTATATTATTTTAAAGATGGCGGACTTTACTATGATTATCGATTGAATCATTGATCGATAATTCATATAGATTCGTAACTAACATAGTGAGAAAACATTGTTATTCATTGGCTATATTATTTTAAAGATGGCGGACTTTACTATGATTATCGATTGAATCATTGATCGATAATTCATATAGATTCGTAACTAACATAGTGAGAAAACATTGTTATTCATTGGCTATATTATTTTAAAGATGGCGGACTTTACTATGATTATCGATTGAATCATTGATCGATAATTCATATAGATTCGTAACTAACATAGTGAGAAAACATTGTTATTCATTGGCTATATTATTTTAAAGATGGCGGACTTTACTATGATTATCGATTGAATCATTGATCGATAATTCATATAGATTCGTAACTAACATAGTGAGAAAACATTGTTATTCATTGGCTATATTATTTTAAAGATGGCGGACTTTACTATGATTATCGATTGAATCATTGATCGATAATTCATATAGATTCGTAACTAACATAGTGAGAAAACATTGTTATTCATTGGCTATATTATTTTAAAGATGGCGGACTTTACTATGATTATCGATTGAATCATTGATCGATAATTCATATAGATTCGTAACTAACATAGTGAGAAAACATTGTTATTCATTGGCTATATTATTTTAAAGATGGCGGACTTTACTATGATTATCGATTGAATCATTGATCGATAATTCATATAGATTCGTAACTAACATAGTGAGAAAACATTGTTATTCATTGGCTATATTATTTTAAAGATGGCGGACTTTACTATGATTATCGATTGAATCATTGATCGATAATTCATATAGATTCGTAACTAACATAGTGAGAAAACATTGTTATTCATTGGCTATATTATTTTAAAGATGGCGGACTTTACTATGATTATCGATTGAATCATTGATCGATAATTTATATAGATTCGTAACTTTAACACAGTAAGAAAACATTGTTTCTCATTGGCTGTATTATTTTAAAGATGGCGCCCCATTAATTTTTCGTATTCTTCATTATGTTGCGTTACTATAGCAAAGTTTATTCTTTGATTACGGTTGTATTGATTCATAGACATAGTATATCTAGACCGAGCGTTTGCCTTTATTTAAGGAGTGGGGGTAAAGATACACGTAGAAAAGGACATACTCTGTTTCGTGCCCCTTGCGTTCTCTCTCGCTCGCACAGAGCATAGCGCTCTCTTTCGTCATGCTAGGTGCGAGCGAGAGAGAACGCAAGGGGCACGAAACAGAGTATGTCCTTTTCTACGTGTATCTTTACCCCCACTCCTTAAATAAAGGCAAACGCTCGGTCTAGATATACTATGTCTATGAGATATACTATGTCTATGGTAAAGACCGTGCCATTAACAAACACCGAACGCAGCGCCAAACTTGGCTAAGGAACTAATTTGAGCGCAATTTTTTCGCGCACCAGTCTTTCAATATTTATATATTGGAATCCTTCAACTCGGGATTTTTCTCCTCCTCCTCGTCGTAGGAAATTCTCTTATTCAGGGACATGGCATTTCCTTCAATCTTTTGCTAATTATACAAAAGTGTTTATGACACTTCTTAAAAATGATGATTATTTCAATTATTTGAAATATTGTCTCTTTTAACTAAACATGTAAGTTTACTGATAACGTTTATATCCACTTATAAAACGACGAATATCTTCTCTCATTTCTTTATATACAATTATTTAATCATTAATTATTATTCAAATTATTTGTAATTTAATGTGCAAAACAATGTGCGTTTGCTTATTTTTATTGATATAATGATTTTTTGCTCCAGCGACAATAATAATAACTATTCCCGTCAGGTTACTGCAATGAGATTATATCTTATGATGATTTCTGGCGATTATAGTTCTATTGAGTTGTTAGTGAATATATGGATACTCACTAGCTGTTTTAAGACCCGATTATGAATAATATGATGACACAGATAAAATAACAAAGTTGGATAAATATAAAGGAAAAACATGTGTTTTTTTTTAGACTTGGAAAGATAGCGTACCAGCCCATAATTTTCTCGTCAAGAACTTAATTCATGATTACAGTTATGCTGAGTAAGCTAACCGGTTCCAGTATTATCTTGGTGCTTTAGGATACAAGTCTTTAAATAGTTTCGCATAGTGATATTTCAGAGAGTTGATGAAGAACAGCACGCAGCAGAATTCGCGCATAATCTTGGAACAAATAAGTATTCTATATAATATTGCAATTTATATATATATATATGATTGTGTCTATCACTTATTGTTAATTAAAATATCAATGTAATTTGATTGTAATAAAATATAAGCGCACAAATTACCGCGCTGGCTCTCGATTGCCTTTCGTCTCCTTCGTATGTTATTTAAAGCACTCTTATTTAATAAATTTATTCACGTCTCATACTATTAAATTAATTTAATTTCATTATTTTCGTTATATTGATCAAGGACCACATCTAGTTAAAAAAGACAATATTTCAGATAATTGAAATAATCATCATTTTTAAGAAATGTCAAACATTTTTTTGTACAATTAGCAGAAGATTGAAGAAAACGCCATGTCCCTGAACAAGAGAATTTCCTACGACGAGGAGAAGAAGAAAAATCCCGAGTTGAAGGATTCCGACATACAAATTTTGAAAGACTGGTGCGCGAAACAACCGCATCTTCCGAAAATCTTAGACAGTGAATACGTATTGTTTCTGCACAGCAATTACTATCGTATCGAAGCTGCTAAGAATACTATCGAGGCATATTATACATCCAGGACTCATCTTGTAGAATTTTTCTCCGACAGAGATCCACTTGGAACGAAACAGTTGAGAGAAGCATTTAGAGTTACGTAAGTATTCAAATATCTGTTGAAATATATTAAAAGTTTCTTCTTTTAATATGTGTGTGTGTGTGTGTGTGTGTGTGTGTGTGTGTGTGTGTGTGTGTAAATAAGTAAGTGAGTGTATTCAAATAATGTCAAGCGTCAGCCGATTTCGCAACGCGAATATTTCGTTTTAGATACAAAAATTCTCATAATTGATTGCAAATGTGTCGTAAAAGATTTCGTTTGTCTGAAATAGAGAAATCTGCACTATAATATTTACATGATAAAGAATGTTGCATAACAACATGTGTGTGTCATACTAGAAGTTGTCATTGAAATTAAAAAACGTAAATTTAATCATAACATAATCATTCATTTCTTTTTAAGTGATTATTATAGAGTCGACATTATAGATGAAATTTATTTTCATTATCTAAATGTACGTCCCCTTTACATATGTGTGTATACATATAATTCAATTAATTCACATACATACACAACAATCATGTACTTTAAAATGATCAAATTTATTTAAAAAGAGCACAGATCACATTGTCAATGCCAACGAAAGAAGGATACAAACTTGTCTATGCAAGACTAATAGATTATGAACCATCGCATTTTGTTTACAACGATGCTATAAAGTACTTTTGTATGGTGATGGATATGTGGCTGTATACTGAAGGAACCGCCAAGGGCCATATAATTGTCGTGGACATGGAAGGTGTCACCTTGGCCCACGCTGGTCGTCTCAGCCCTATAGGGATTAAGAAATATCTTTATTATCTACAAGAGGCTATACCAATCAGACTCATGGGTCTGCATTTTGTCAATACCAACGCGGTTATGGATATTATTTTGGCGATGATGAAGCCATTCATGAAGAAGGAGTTGATGGACGTGGTGAGAAAAATTAGGATATTTTTATTTATGAATAATAATGTGTGTATGTGTGTAAGGGAGGGGGCGTACGTGCACGTGTGAGTGTGTCTGATAATGACAAATATTTTTAGTTGCATATTCATCCAACAAAGGATACGCTCGCGAAGTTTATACCATCGGAAGCGTTCCCGTGCGACATAAGTTTAGGTGGAAAAGCTAAGCCGCTGAAAGAACAGCACGAGGAACAATTGAAAAAGTTGGAGGATTATCGGGAATGGTTTTTGAAAGATGAAGCTACAGGTCGGGTGAACGAAGCTTTGAGAGTGGGCGAAAGCAAGACGATGGATTTGTTCGGTGTCGAAGGAAGTTTCAAAAAACTCGATATAGATTGACTTGTTTTTCAATTCCTTTACATCGAGAATGCAGCCAATAATCAAATATTATTGAAAATATTACTTAAAATCTCTTTGTTTTTTCGCGGTTATATTTGTTTTAAATATGTAATGGTTCCAATATATGTGCACCATAATCGTAAAGAGTAAATAAAAGATGCGACGCTTACAACGCAATTATATGCTAGTAACATAAATAAGACGCATAATAACGATGATACCGATATAATCTAAAGTTTAATTTGGATTCATGAATCCAAAACTAAAAGTGTTTTTGCAAGAGTAATCCCCGATTATCTAGAGCAAGATCAAAAGTTTTATTCCAAAATAATAATATGCAATATATGACAGCTAAAATACACGCTATATATAAAATCTAGAATAAATGTTCAAAAATTTTGCACACCGAAATGTTTTTTACTAGGCTTCTAAATACATTTTCAAACGTTCACTTATATTCTTTCATGCATTTCCGAGTGGGAACCTATCTTATTTTGTACATACAAACTGCAAAACTTTTATATTAAGCAAATATTGTTACGACCTGACGCAAAACGCCGGTAAAAAAACTGTAATTTTTTAGATTTTCTTCGTTTTCAACGTAAAAGCGCAAGGTTCCCACTTTGTTGATGTATATACTTTAATCGTGGAAAAGGATTTCTTATTTCATGTAACCAATAAAAAAATTTCGGTCTGCAAAGTAAATTATTATGTCCGGTAAAACAGGACGGTCCGGCATCACCTTAATGATACTTTTTATCCACAGATATTAAAATTTACATATTGTATATATTAAAGTTAAAAAGAAACCGTGGTAAATGTTCGGATTAACTTACACATCACGGATCATTTTCATTTTTACATATATTGTAGAAGATACATTCCTAAGTACACGATTTGAATTTTGTGGCGCTCTCTTCTGGTTCCAGAGATATGCGATTTTGAAGTATTGTAAAAATAACATTTTAAGATTAAAATGGGATTTAGCCCCAATCTTGATCTTGACCTTGATATAATTCAACTTTATTATAAAGCGTGTATTACTTAGGAATGTATCCTCTACAGAATATGTAAAAATGAAAACGATCCGTGATGTGTAAGTTAATCCGAATATTTACCAAAACCATTTATACACGTTTATAATGCCCGACATAGATGACATTTGACAAAAATTGTAGTGTCATCCCGCGTATTATACAAAATCCAAGTTAAATAAGCAAAACTTTACGACTCAAGATTTCAAATTATGATAATCTTGTGGCATTTATGCTCGTCAAGCGCAATTAAACGCGTTATTAAAAGAAAAACTGGAAGAAGAAAATCTATAATATGCATATTTTATATAATTGACATTCCCGTAATTACAAATCTTAATGAGATAAGAATAATCGTTATATTAATGAGATACACACTCTACATACGCACGTTTGTATGCACATATGATAGATTAATTCTGTCAATCGAGTTCTTAAGACCGTTAGCCATAACTGAATTATAATATATTTTACGTTATTATATTTATATAGGGAAAAAAACGAAGCAGAGTTTATCTAACTAACATAAGACTAACTAAATAAGATTGGCCAAGATGGCAATGAGATGACACGCCGTTTAAATAAGATAAAAACAATATGTTTTTTGTTATTCGCTTAATAATGTTGAACCTCATTTGAAATCTGACGTTCACTGTTTGATTGCGAGTATATATATAGAATACGTAGAATGTTTTCTGCGTGCTGCGCAATCTTGGGACAATCATTCTTGCATTGGACGGCTTTCTCAACGTGTTGGGAACGTTTGAACATTCTCCTCGAGAAATCAGTAAGCCGTCGACTTATCTCGTGCGTATATCGTTATTCTGCGCTACATTACCTGGATTTGTAGGACAGATTCATCTGTGAATAAACGGTCAAGAAATATCGTAATGTGATATAACTTTTTTTACTGAATAAAAATATTATTTCAACTTTTGAAAACAATTAACTGTACGTTCCAACTAACTATGGAAAATATACTATCGCAGATTAGCAAATGCAAGAAAAATCAATATATACCGACACCCCGTATACGCAAATGTAAAATTATTCTTAAATGAGTGGTTCTGATAAATAATTGTTTTTAATATTTATACAACAATCGATAATATTATATATTATATAGAAAAAGAGGTGAATAAATATATAATAACGGTGTACAGGTAAAATGCTAAGATTTTTACTTTGGAAATAGTGACATTATGCCATTTAAATATTTATTTCTGTAGCCATCTTATCGTTTTCAATTTGTTTTAAAGTTTTTACCGGTATGTACATATGTATTAATGTGTGCGTGGTTTTCTAATTCTTTTATTAATATTTCAGACAAATATAAAATAATCCTATCCAGAACCAGCTTAAATAATAGCAAAATTAAATAAAGTTAATAATTTTTATTTATAGTTTTTGCATGTTTATTTGTATTTCTAAATAGTATTCTACATTTACACCTTAAGTTTTGTAAAAAGCAGAAAAAAACACTACTTAAAACAAGAAATATTTGCCAATTCAAATAAACATAGCATAAAAGGTCAATGTTATTAAAAAAAATCACATAAATTTTAAATATGTTTAAAATATGTGAATGCTAGAATCTCCAATAGATAAATTTGTACCTTTTCTATTCGATATTTGTATCTTTCTATCTAATTATATGGCTTTACACAAAAACATAGATTTTTTAAATAAATAAATGTATACTAGTATATCTAACCGACATATATTAGACGAATATATTTTTATTAAATAAAGATATCAACAAGAGTATCGTACACACGCATTAATATAGTGAACAGCATTCTGCCGTAAGTTTGTAAATTAATTTTGATAAATTAAAAGAAAATTGTTTTGGCTAAAATTGTTCCTTTTTTCTCGTAATGTTGTAATAATTATTTTAATCAATCAAAAGAGTACATATATATATATATGTACTCTTTTGATTGATTAAAATAATTATTACAACATTACGAGGTATATACACACATATATACGTCCACGTTCATCCTTTTTTTGCAAAGTTCGTGGAAAAAAAAATATAAACAAAGTTAAATTTCCCTTTTGATATATATATATATATGTACTCTTTTGATTGATTAAAATAATTATTACAACATTACGAGGTATATACACACATATATACGTCCACGTTCATCCTTTTTTTGCAAAGTTCGTGGAAAAAAAAATATAAACAAAGTTAAATTTCCCTCTACAGGCTACTTTCGAGTGTTACAACCATGTCAAGTATAACGTTGCCGACTCGATACGTCACTATAGAAGAAGAGTGCAAACGGAATCCGGAACTCAAAATGTCAGATCTGCAAATGTTGAAAGATTGGATGGACAAGCAACCTCATTTACCAAATATAGAGATGATGTATTTTGTTTTATTTCTTCATAGCAATTATTACCATCTAGAGTCGACCAAAAAGACAATAGACAATTTTTTTACCTCAAGAACGCATATGCCGGAAGTGTTCTCCAATAGAGATCCGATTGCATGGAAAGAACTACGGAAGACTTTCACCGTCGTGTGAGTTTCATTCGTGTTAAATTATTAATATCGAAAAGAATAATCATGTTATAAAAATTTTATAAAGTTTCTTATAAAGAAACATTATAAAAATTATGCCAAACAATATAAGAAAGATTCTTCCGATAACATAGGGCGGCTGTACCATTGGAGCAGAAAACTAAAAAGGGATACATCGTGACGTTTGGCAAGCTTTTGGATCCGGATCCAAGTAAATTTGACTATCTTGAGTGTATGAAGTATTTATTTATGACATGTGAAGTACAAAATGTGATAAGAGGCACCAGTGAGGGACTAGTTATCATCATGGACGCATCGGGTTTATCCTTTGGTCATATCGCTCGTTTAAATTTAATGAATCTAAAGAAGATATTGTACTATGTACAAGAAGCTATCCCAGTTCGATTAAAAGCTATACACATATTCAATACTGTGCCCATAATAGACACGCTATTGAATATGATAAAGCCTTTTGCGAAAGCAGAATTGCTCAAGCTTGTAAGTTAGCAATGTGTTCTTCGATCATACTAGAGTTATGTGTGAGAAAAATGAAAAAAAGAGAAAAAGTGAGAAAACGAGCGGTATATATATATATATATATATAATTTTAGGTGCACTTCCATTCAAGCTTGGAGACTGTGCAGGAGTTTCTGCCCATCGAAGCTTTGCCAAACGAATACGGCGGAAAAGCGGGATCTATCGAGGAAATAGTTACAAAGCACGTCAAATTATTGGAAGAATTCCGCGAATGGTTTCAATACGACGAACTTGTTGGACGGGTGAATGAATCTCTGCGAGTGGAGAAATGCCAAAATACGGAAAGTTTGTTCGGTGTGGACGGTAGTTTTAAAAGATTGGAGATTGATTAACCGAATAAATACGAAGTTAAATATCTTTAAAAAAAAATTGTAATTTTTTATACTCTCCTCTGTAAATGCCGCAAAGCATCTTATTCTTGTGTTAATCGATAATTTTTTTTTTCATTTTAACTCGCATTATATCAACATACCTTTGTACAGATAAATGAAAAAGAAGGGAAACGTAATTTAATTATATTTAATTAATTTGATTAT